ATATTGTTTCAAGGATAAATAGCGTAGGGTTTGAAGACCAAGGTAGATTCCAAGGCCATTACATACCAACACATCCATAATCCACTGTAAGAAGAAACAAATGCATTACTATGGCAATAAGAAAAGAAATGTGTTTGTACATAACAGGAAATCTAAAAGTATTGTGATATCTTTTTAATTGAAAAACACCATGCATATTATACGAGAGAAGGAAGAATTCAAATACAAAGGGACATAAAATAATGAATAGAGATAAAAAGAAAAAATTATATTAATAGGCACAAGGGAAGACTTGGATGATTCTTCCTTCTCTTTACCAAAAAATGGAAGAACTTTCCTAATGGATATTTTGTGGACATAGATAAGTTCATTTACGACAGAAAGGAAATCAATATGATCAATATATCTTATTTGAAGAACGTGCTTTGAGGGCAGAAGTGTGAACTTTTCACTGACTCTAGTTTCTCATAAGTTTATTCTCAGCAGGAAAGAAACAAATTTCTGTCTTATTATCTTTAGCTGTCCATAACTATGTTGTCTTCTGTTGCTTTGGCCAACTTCCCCCCTTCACTCTCTTCTCCCAGGCTGACTATGTATCTGCAAGAATAATAGTGAAGATCAAAAGAAAACAAACTGCCCTTCTCATGTTGGTTCTTTTTTACCATATATACTTCATGTATAGTGTGACCTCTGAAATTTTGCATGAATCTTAACCCCTCAAGAAAATATTTACCTGTGTATTGTACAAAAGGTCATTAAAAATGCATAACTTTTAACCTCTTCAAAAAAAATTACCTGTGTATAGTGTGACCCCCTGATCATAACAACTTGCACTATACTTGAGTATAGTGATTTTCCAAACATAGCTCAGATATGGCACAAGGCCAAAAGTATGGGGCACCCAGTGAGGATTGAACTCAATACTCAGTTGTAATTGTTCTAGTGAGACAAGCTTGCTAACCATTACCCCACCTTGGGATGCCTCACTATGCTTGAGTATATACAGTAATCATCACCTTTACCAATAATCCTTCCATGTTTTCCATCCATGGCCACTACACCCAGGTATATAGTATCACCCCAACACTTTTTCAGCTTCCTCACCTCTCTTTATTCCTGGTAGGTAAAAACAAAGCTTCAATTCAAATTCTATACTTGCTTACAAATTAAATAAAAAATCAGACTTTAAATCAATTCCCCTTAAGCTGCAATACTTCAACTGTTTGAATCCATCACAAACTGCATGCCCATATATAAAAATTTGATTATGTACAATTGACATTATTTACATTATTCGGACTATTGTTCTCATCTTTGTCGCCATATTTATTACAACATTTCGGCCGTTGTACACTCCGGCCTTCTTCAGGTGGTTGGAATGTTGAACTAAACACTTTATTTCACTCACTGGGGTAGACTTCTAGTTCCACATGCCATGTTTAATGGATGTCAGTTATCAGTTATCTCCTGTTAATTTTTCCTCTGAAAGTTCTCCACTGCCTTAACCGAGTATTGATCTCACACGCTTTGGGTCCTGTTACTGGATGTAACCAACGCCTTTATCCACTGTGCCATGTGTCCTTGAGGAAATATGGCACATGGAACTAGAACAGTGAGCGAAATAAAGGGTTCAGTTTGACATTCCAACCACCTGAAGAAGGCCAGAGTGTACAATGGCCGAAATGTAGTAAATATGGTGACAAAGATGAGGACAATAGTCCGAATAATGTAAATGGTGGACATAATACCTCATCTCAGAAATATAGACATATACTGAAGGGCCGAAACGTTGTAATAAATATGGCGACAAAGATGAAGAGAATAGTCCGAATAATGTAAATTATGTACATAATACCTTGTCTCAGAAATATAGACAGGTACAATTGACATTTGCACAAAGGTTACAAATAACAGATGCTGACATCTGATGTGTTATATCATTTAGCTACAGAGAAGTGTCTGGTTAGCAAAGTCCAAATTACTGTTTATAAACACAAAATCTAGAATTTTTCTCGATTGATCATTTCTGTTCACAAAACATATCTTAACATAAACAATGACAACGTATAATGAAATTGATTAAGTTTGACAATTATTTAATATATTTTCTGTTTAAATGTTATTTTTATAGATACAATTTATTTAAGTAAATGCTCTGTCTTTAATTAAACAGTATTAATTAATTCCTGTTGGAGAACATATATTTTCTATGAAATTTCTTGTGAGTGGAATTGGATAGACAGAACCCTTGGGGGCTGTTGATAGCTGTGCTAGCATGAAGTCACAAGGCATCGTGGCCAAGGGCTTGAGTATGCTGGCCTTGTTCAAATTGTTGATCATGCTAGATGACACGCTCTTTCCCTGAAACTGTAACTAAGGTCTGCTCAGCATAGTTGCAGTATAAACTACAGGTTGGCTCTGTGGATGTTGAATAAACACAAATGTGCCTGAGCAATTGTCTGCAATAGGGATTGGCTAGCCATCCTAGTAGATGGGTATCCTTGAATACGAGTGGCCAGCTATACATACATGTATTGTTAATAATTTAGTTTTATAAAAAATTGTATTGCTGGTACTTTTACTATAAAAATGTATTTTTATATTTTCATAGTGTTTTGTTTTTGTTTGGTGAGGGGTTCACTATTTGCTCATAGCTGGGACCCTAAAAGGTGCTACCACCCTGGGTCAGAGTGAACCTGGGAACAACAGCAATTAAGAGATGGTTTCAGGCTCTTCAAAACCTCCAATCTCCCGGTCAGAGGCCTTGATGTCAGATGTAGTTTATTGTCATAATGGACAGTGTTTTTTAAAAAGAATATACTGAAGATATTTAGGACTCTTAATATTTCCAATACATTCTTCTTAAAAAAAAAAACACTGTCCATTCAGAATTTCAGTATTCTTATTCCTTTGGCAAATCCTTTGCACCATCAAATATATTATGTAATATATTTTTAATGTATATGTCATATTCCATTTGTAAGAAGGAAGTTCCACTTTTCTTTTCCAAGAATCAATAATCTGCAGAACGGATTCCTGCACAAATGCTTTTCCACATATCACAAATCTTAACTTCTTCAAGTCAAAGGTCAATTCTTATCTATCCTCCATATCCACCTAATCTTGAATTCCTACTTACTCCTCTTAAACTTACATCCATACCACACACCCCATTCAGTAACCCTCTACCTTGAGTGGCACTTGGGCCTTGTATTAGGTTGAACATTAGAAATAAAATTCCCTAGTTATTAATAGAGAAAGCAAAAATCAATGTACAAACATGAATGCTTAGTTTAAAAAAAAGAAAAAAAAGTCTTTCTTATTATTATTAATTTTTTGACTCAGTTATATGCCATGCATGATAAACATTTAGGTGATCATGTATCTTTCAATACATGATTGACAAGGCAGATTTTTCCTGCAGAAGGTTACCATTTCTTCCTGTGGTAGACCAGTTGTCATCCAAAGCTATAGAACCCATTCTGTCCTGCTATTTACCCCTAGCTAAGGGTGGAGAAGAAGAGGATTCATACCTTTCCCAAGGGTATTGGCACGTAAGTGAATGTAATGGATTCGACTGGAATTTGAACTTGGCTCTCCGATTCCTCAATTTCTTTTATTTTAATTTCAGTTGCTTTTTATTGCAATAACTCCAAATATCATTTTATACAAAGCAGAAAAAAAAGATTTTTGGTGAATGTTTTTTCTTATTTTTTTTATATATAATGTTATGCGGTGTACTTGCAATAAAAAGCAACAGAAATTGAGACAACAGAAATACCAGTCAAAAAATGAATAATTAGCAATGCTTCATCTAATAATAAAATCCAAGTTCTCTCAAGTATCACAATGTACAGAGATATTGCAATTCAGTTATTTCAAGATACTTCTCACTCATATTCTGCCTCTCAGATTATCAGATTAACATAATAAGCAATAGAGCAATATCTGTGACCTTTAAATGCAAATTAGAGTACCAATTTGGAGTATCTCAAGTGCATTCTCCTTTGTCCAAATTAAAATGTCAGTCAGGTATTAGGTGGAATATCAGGGGTAATAATCTTTGTTGCCCTTTCACTTCTGCATTGCAAATACTTACATGGTCCCACCAGCATTCACTGAAATTGGGCAGCTGGTGTTCAAGTGTATATTCAAGAATCTCAAACATAATGCTGAGAACAGTACAGAGCCACCAATCACGTAAAATCAACGTCTGGAAAAGAAAATAGATAAAGAGATGCATTAAAAACTTTGGAGTAAAAATTAAAATTAAATTGAAAATTTAAAAGCAAAACATTTTTCTAAAATTTACAATAATTATTTTATTCTACTAATCTACTATTGTAGAACATAAAATGCAACAAAACTTTATATATGTAAATTTATATTGCATAATATATATATATATATATATATATATATATATGTGTGTGTGTGTAAGCAAATATGGGAATATAGATCAGACAGTATGAAGAAAATATGGAAAAACAAAAATCCGAATATGCAAGTATGCGGTTTTAATGTTGTTTCAATGTCGACGTCAGACGTTTCAGTCTAGTAGACCTTCTTCAGGACATAGTTATTAAAACATAATTTAAATTAGATGATATTCAAGTTAACATGAAAAGACAATAGACATAAGACTAATCAAAACAGAATAACTGAAATTTTTAAGATCAGCGTTCCGTTTCACAATACAATCACATCAGCATCACATGGGCGATGTTGTGAAAACGTATTCCTAAAATAGAGTATATTTTAAATGAAAAAGAATTTTATTCTAATCTAAAATTTATAAGTACATTTGTCCAGAATTAATCTTGCCAGAAAAGGGGAAATATTAAAGAAGCTGGGTTTAGTATTCAATTCACCATGCGTGAGATAGATATGCCTGCCTCATAAATCCGTCTAAGATCTTTATTATGAATATATTTTAAAATCTTCACAGAATCAAAATTGAAATTATGATCAGATTTAGTTATGTGTACAACTAAAGCATTGTTTAAATTACTGAGGCGAATATCTCGTTTATGTTCGAAAACATGAGATTTTACGGACCTACATGTTTCACCCACATATTTTAAGTCACAGTTGTTGCATGAGATTTGGTAGATGCAAGCATCAGATGTAATATGTTGGTTGCTGGTTTTATTTAATAAACTGTGGATAGTTCTAGTAGGTAATATTGTAGTTTTAATTTTTAGCACATTTAAATTATTGGAGATATGTTCGGTCAAACGGTTATTTGGTAGAAAGATGCGACCAAAAGAATTATCAGGGGCAGCTGAAAGTGTACCTTTCACTGATGTAGTTGTAGTAGTGGTCTTCGAGGTGTCATTTTGCGCTGATGAATGAATTTTCAACGCTTTATTTTTAGCTCTCAGTAATAATTGTCTCAGATACGAAAGACTTGAAAAGGTATCCTCAATATAACTGAATTCATCATCTAAATATTTTACAATATACTTTGAATTCTAATTTATTATTATTTTTAATGAGTAGTATGTCTAAAAAAGGTAAAGAATTATTAGACTCAAGTTCATGGGTAAATTTTATAGTAGGTTCTATTTTATTTAATCTATCAGTAATCTCATTTTGATTTTGTGAACAATTTAAAATATCAGGACCTCAGGCAGAAGGGTTAAAATTGTTCAAGAACCCCAAGGCTCAAAAGGTTAACAGTCCGATCTGCATTTCTAACAAATGGAAAATCTTATAAAGTTAACAAATCTGACAAGATTCTGATAGAAAATCTCCATGATTACAAAGAGTTGGGATTCATCTTTTATGTGGCATATCCCTTCAAGATGTAGGCAATCATAGCTCTCCACAACTTTCTATCCTTTGTAGTTCTTAGTAAGGTTTGTCTTTTTGTTGTCTTTTCCAATCTCTCCTGCCATCCATTCACACAAGCTCATTCAGTAAGTTACTTGCTGTTTTCCTCTGTTCATTTTGCCTTTAATATGTCTTCTGTGTATGTCAGATTATATCTCCTAGAAATTTTCAACTGTCTCCTCCTGATTCTAAGTATAAGCATCCTTTTTGTTTCAGGAGGTAGATCTTTCTTTTATAATGGCAACAAGACTTGCATTAGCCAATCAGAATTAATTATAATTGTTAATACATTTTCTGTTGTTTAAATCACATTGTGGAACAAATTATGCAGAGAGGCAACCTATTAACAGGCCAGGGTACCTGGCAGAACAGATCTAATGCTGCAATATCTGAAATCCGTAATGAAGCCAGGGTAACATCACTGATGACCTCTACTGTTGCCTTTTATAAATGTATTTTAAGAAAAAAATATATATATATATATATATATATATATATATATATTATATAGGTTAATCAATTGGTTTTTCAATGGTTTGTATATATATATATATATATATATATATATATATATATATATATTGATGACGTTCCAGGTGTTTTGCCCTTCAGCCTTTTATCAGTGGCCAACATGCAGCTGGGAGATAGAAAAATAGCCAACATGCAGCTGAGAGATGGAAAAACTATTCAAAAAGTCTGTGATTATAGCATCATCTGACATGTGGCACACAGGGCACTAGTACAGGACATGGTGCTGTGGTGTAGAGAGAGTGTGTATTGCAAGGCCACAGGTAATTGACCACTTTAAACTATTCACTTGAGCAGGTTGGTCAGTAAAATCTTAGAATTTCATGAACCATCATTTGTCATTTTTGACAAGAGAATCAATCCGTTTAGTACATTAAGTGAAATTCTACAATAATTTAGAAAACTTTTACTTTTTATATTTAATAATTTATAATCTTAGTTAGAATTGACAATCTTGCCTATACAGATGGTCACATCTCTGCCAAAAATGATGAGTGTGCCAATTTGCAATTTCATCATATCTGACATCAAATCTTCAAATCTTTTATTTGCTTTGGCTTATGCTCCTCAGATTTCAAAAAATTAAAACTCAATTCAGTTTGTTATAAGAGCCCTGACTTCATTCAGTTTGTTGGAAAGAGAATGAAAGGTCAAAAAAGGGGTGGGGGATAAAGTTTTTTTCTTCATCCAAATACAGCATTATTTCCCCAATCTTTGACTGAATTGCTAATTTACAAACTATTGGTTGCTTTAAATATATTTTTATAGTCAAAGCCACATAATACTGATGTGTACTTAAATCATGTGACCAAATCTTGTGTTTTGCCTTCATTCAACCATGTGTAACATTGATATGTTCTTTTGTTCAAACCACCAGGACCTGTGTTCAAACAATGCTATTGAATATATTACATTTAGAATCACATTACTCATTACACATTTCTACTTTTGTCTTTGCATAGATAGCTCGAAAATATAAAAATACTTACTTTTAGCCACCAGCCAATGAAATGTGTCGGCACAAAACCGTCCATTTTATCCTTGGTAAAACAGAAAAGTAAAAAAAACTGAAATCATTGTAAAAAAAAAAAAAAAAAAAAATTGTGATCATATCAGTATTTAAAAAAAAGAAGCAACAGAGATTAATTTTAATATTAATCTTTTTGCACCCCCTTGTTTCATTTAAGACATTTTCTTTATAACCAGACAAGAATTAATTTTATCAACAATATACATAAAAAAGATTAAAATACAATATGTGTTTACATATTGTGCTAAAATACGTTTTAAGATTTAGTAATTTATACTGATTTTTGGCAAATTATGTAATCATGTCCAGGAACTTAGAAGGTTAAAAAAAAAAACAATTTTTTTACATTTACCATTAACACTTGAATCTGTGAGATAAATGACCTAACATTAATATGCAACAGCCAATAAATGAAAAGAGAGGTTTTTCAAAATTTTCCAATATATTTTTTTTTTTATAACAGTAAGAGATTACTGGAAAACACTTGTACAAATGCAAGCAAATAGGATAAAAAGCTTAATCGCATTACTTTGTCAGTTTTTAATGAAATACACACACATATATATATATATATATATAGCTAATAATCCATTGGTATATAACCCAAGTGAATACTAATAATATGAAATATTAAAACTTATCCACAAAAAGAGCTCAATGCATTTATAATAACAGAGCATATAAATTAAATAGAATAGAAATCCAAAATTACCTCATTCAAATAGCTATTTCGACCAACAAGACTTAGTTATTGGCTTTGGGCTTTGTTAACTCAGAGTTGTGAAAAAAATAAAAAAAAGAATAAAATTTTTTCCCTATTTTCTATGCTTAGCATTCTCATATACTTGTATCTTGATTGGTCATTGGAGCTTATGTAACAGCGTTTCCCCTTAGCGAGGGGTGTTTGATTGATTTGAACCTTTTAAAACCCTTTATTCTACATTCAACACCATCACTTGATAAGACACCAAGAGTGTTAAAACAATGTGGCTATTTTTGTAGTGATTTTATAACATATTTATGTTATAATTTTCAAATAAATTATATTTGCTCTACTCTGTATTGAGCACTCTTTTAAGAATAGTATTTTTGATTATTGGAATTTATTCCATATACACCAATCCTATACCTGTGTGTGTGTGTGTGTGTGTGTGTGTGTATGTATATTATGATCCCCAAAATGCTAAGCATAGAAAATAGCATAGGAAAAATTTTGTAGTGAAATATTAATTTAAACAAAGTTTACAAATGTATGTTGTTTGGTCTTGAGAATCAGCCATCTTTGTTTTGGCAGTTTTTGATCTGAAAATTTTACTGTATAACATTCAATTTAAGTGATTCATTTTCACAACTGAATTGATAAAGAGTGAGACTATATTGTAAAATTAAAATTTGTCATGCCAAATAAATGCTTCTTTCATCACTAGGCCACAAACTTAATGATCTAGCTACATAAATAAGCAGCATGCAAAAAGTCCCAGTCATAGAACAAAGATTGAGAAGTTCACATCTCACAAGCCATTAATAGTATAATAATAGAGTAGGTCATAGGCCATGAACGACCCCAGGGCCTCCAATCATTCACTTTACCAGATGGAATTGCGATGATCGAATGTTAGCTATCCTGAGGGAAACTTCAGAAGGAACCAGCTACTAGACGGCTCGATTGGTCTTTTTCCCCTACACCCAATTCTACACCCTTGGGCCTCAAAATCTAAGGGGCCTCCAACCAAGGTGTATAATATTTTTGGCACTGTCAAAGACCTTTCTTACACATGCTGTCATAACACATTGTAGACTCTAAATAACCCTTCAGTAATTTTAAGCACCCATCATCATCCTTGGCTTTACTGAAATTGTTTAATTTAACACTCTTCCATTTTCCTCTACTCGTGAGAATGGGGGGAGGGTTTGGAGGGGGGTCTCACGAGTGTAATGGCCTTGAGCCTCTCTTCATCTAAATCCAGCTCTGCATGTCCTTGATTTAGTACAATCTAACAAATATTTGAAGAACACAGAAATACAGATCAACCACCAATAATCACATTGCATCCAGGGAAAAAAAATAGTTTAAATCTTATTTTCATTGTTAATTTAAGTCAGTTGAATCTTAATAGCTGAAATATCAAGCGGATAAGATTCAGGAGGAAGTTCTGTGAAATTAGCCATTTTCTTATTAAATTCTTTTTATATATTTATTTGATTTTAATGATATTTTTTTCCTTGTAGCAAAGCCTGGGAATTTCATTGAAAATTGAACATTGTCGATCATTTTGCAAAGGCAGGCGAATGAACCAAAAGTTATAAAGTCAAAAATAAGGGTAAATATTTTTGAAAAAAAAAGTCAATGAATAAGACTATTTCTTTGGGATAGTTGGGCAGAAAAAAAAAAAAAAAAAAAAGAGAAGGGTGCTTCCCGGTGATGATTTTCAATACAAAATGCCAGAGATCAGACAATAGATAAATAACAAGTAGAAATGGCAAAGTCAAAGAAAAATTTCTGAAACAATGTTCGAGAAAACAAATGAAAAACAAAATACACATAATAAAAGGAAACAGTTACAAAAAAATAGCTGTGAAGTTATGGTTAAGGTGGATAATTATTATTCTGGCAGTTAACTCTCCTTGCAGACATTTTTTTCTTCAAAGATATTCACCCTGTACAAGGCCCAAGTGCCACTTGAGGTAGAAGGTTACAGATTAAGAGGCACAGTTTATGAAGATATGTGGGGAAGATAACCCTAAACTTGAACTTCTATAAATGTTCTATATGTTCAAGAAAGGACATACAATAGTTTTACTAATGGAATCAGTTATATATATATATATATATATATATATATATATATATATATATATATTATGAATGTCAAATGTTTCCTTATCAGGAAACGGCTAATATTACCATTATCATTAGAGATGAGAACAGAGAGCACTTGGTATTTACTCATCTGCTCATGATGATGGGATATGGCACAAGGCTATTTTAAAGTGGGGAGCTCAGGTACATACATATGGAGTTCACCACCCCCTTATTTTTCCTAGCAAAAAAAAAAAAAAAAACACCACCAGAAGACGCTTTCTATGATTATAATTACACTGTAATATTTTCTATCATTCTCTTTTCCCTTTTTCACTCTGGGATGCTAAGATGCAAGGCCAATGAGCAAAACGCCCCACCCCAGATGCATGTACACACACACACACACACACACACACACACACACACACACACATACATATGCATTGTCATTGCTCTTCCTTTTTTGGTTTGTGAGGTCGACATCTTTATTGACCCCCACAATATACGCATGGGCTAAGACCCCAAACTGCCCAGTACGTGCAACCAACATCCCGCTGGAGCCAATACTCCACAGACCATCCCTCTTTGGTGCAATGGTGTTGCTGTAGGGTTGGAATCCCCGGGGGCCAGGCATTTATTTGTTGTGTCCTGCCCAAAGACAGAAACACAACTGAGAGATAAAATGTAGTTTGTCCACCCTAAAGCAGATACTACACTTAGTATTTACTCATCATCCCATACTGGCAGGATGTAACACAAAGTCTATTTAAGGTGGTTTTGATTTGGTTTGTTTTGTGGCATATCAACCTCAATGGGTTATTTAATGCCAACAAGATTGGTAATAATTTTTTTTGAATTTATTTCTGGTAAATTTTTTTTTCTTTAAAAATCTATTTCTGGTAATATTTTTTCTTCAAAAATGTATTTCTTGTAATTTTTTTTTTTCAAAAAAGTATAACTGGTAATATTTTTTTTCAAAAATGTATTGCTGGTAATAATTTTTTTTGCCAAAAACTTATTGCTGGTAATAACTTTTTTTTTTACAAAGTATTTCAGGTATTAAAACCTATTTTTACACTTTCATAGTGTTTTGACCCCAGTTTGGTGGAGGGAGGTAACTATTTACCCATATCTGGGACCCGAACAGGTGCTACCACCCCAGGTCAGGGTGAACCAGGGAACACCAGCAATTAAGAGGTGGTTCTACGCTCCTCAAATTCTCCTGATCAGAGGCCTTGCTGTTTGTACATAGTTTATCGTCTTACCCAGGACGCAGATGTAGTTTATCGTCTTACCCAGGATGACCGCAGCCATTGGTTATGCTGACATTGATATTACTACCACTCGCTGCTTTTTAGTGCATTGAGTGATGTACTACCTTCCGCGGGAAGCTGTTCCTGAGACGGGGGACCTCTGAGTAATATTTTCAATTGAACTCTGCCCAAAGGCAAAGACACAATTGAATTGCGCTCTGTCCCAAGACAAACACAATTGAGAGATAAAATGCTGTTTATCCGCCCAAGGGCAGATGTTACACTTTCATCTCAACTCAATGACCAGGGAGTGAAGAAAAGCATAACTCCAGTTACATAAGTCGTTTGGTCAATGGAATTCCAACTGTTTCCTTATAAGGAAATGGCTAATTTTACCATTACCATTGCCTTTATAGTTAGGAAGAAGTTTCAGGTTCATTTCGCAAGGTTGACAAAATAAAATAAACATTTTAAAAGCTTTGTTTGAAAAAAAGATTCACAAAATTACATTTGGCATGGAAAATTATGAAGTGGCAAAAATAGAAGATATCTATGGTAGTTTAATCTGAAAGAAGAGAAAGAAAAAGAAAATAATAACAAAAAGGAATGAGCTACACCGCTTATCACACCTCACTCACTTGATTGAGGAAAATAAAATATTTGTGCACAAAGGAAACATGAATAGAAAATACACCAATAATATACTGAAACTGGTATATTCTTTTTTTTTTTTTTTTTTAAAGACAACTCATGTTGAGTCTCCTTCCATTTATATAAACGAGGTTGTCTTGACTCAATAAAAATACATTCTGGGATCTTCAGATGTGACCGACAAAGAATTAAGAATATGTCTTCTTTGTAAGACGATGCAAACTACTTATTTCATTTTTCTTGATCAAGTTCTGATTAGTGAGGAGTAGTAACCAGTTAACTCTTTTTTTTTTTTTTAATTCTCTCTCTCTTTCATAGTTAATTAAACTACTGTAGTTGTTTTTCCTTTTCATCATCCTTTTATTTATGCTTGTACTGTTTGCTATGAGAAAATTACGAAATGCAGATGAGTCAATTGTGTTGTGATAATTTAATACCAAGAAATTTATGAAACAAACACTAAAATATTTTTCAAATCTTCATTTAAACTCATTGCATTGAACTGGTTTCAACTGAAGGAAATTAGAAAAAGTAGTAGAAGGGAGAAACAATACAGAGAGTATATATATATATATATATATATATATATAGACATGCATGCATGCATGCATGCATGTTTACTAAAGGTCAAAAGTTTGAGGACACCATACGGATTTCAAAGAATCACTTATAAATTGAAGGTTTCATGCCTTTTTCAAAACTAATTTACTAGCTCACTTCAGACCATAGGGACTTTCTTTTCCTGAAGAATTTCATATCTTCAATAAAAATCCTAAAATTAACCAATTACTGCATAAAGTTTCCTTATAATCTCTGATTTTTTTCCTAACCTACCTTGCTGGGTAGTGGTAATTGTAAGGGTGGCGAGTTTTAAATTCTAGGAAACCCCCTTTCAAAAAAATTGGATGTCATGCATTAATGGGTAAAATAGCTTTAGTACCCTAGCTTAGTATGAGTTAATTAAACCAAAAAAGGCATAGAACTTATTATTAAATCCAGAGGGTAACCCCAAATCTTTGGCCTATAGTGTGTGTGTGTGTGTGCGCATTATATTATATTATATATATATATATATATACATACTTATTTACAATTATAGGAGAAGGATTTAGGTGAATTATGTAGGAGAACAAAGAGGAACCTTATTAGCCTCAAACACAAGTGTGGAAAAGCCAGGCACCTTTAAGTTATGGAAGGGGTCAGTGTGATTGGCATCGTAGACGTAACAGTTTCCCCCATAATCTTTCTCAGGTAGTGGAAGACCAAGCTTGGGGTCAATGTGAGTCATCAACTGCCTTGCATCATGAACTGTCTGAAAAGGAAAAAAAAAAACAAAGAAGAAAAAAAAAAAAAAAAAAAAAAAAAAAACATTGCTTTAAAAAAAAAATATGCATTCAAAAAAAAAAAAAAAAAAAAAAAATTGCTTAAAAAAGAAAATATGCATTAAAAAAAAAAAAAAAAAAAAAACATTGCTTAAAAAGAAAAATATGCATTCCAAAAAAAAAAACATTGCTTAAATATGCATTCCAAAAATATGCATTCCAAAAAAAAAAAAAAAAAAACATTGCTTAAAAAAAAAAATGTCAAAAAAAAAAAAAAACATTGCTTAAAAAAAAAATATGCATTCCAAAAAAAAAAAAAAATATTGCTTAAAAAAGAAAAAAAAAATTCCAAAAAAAAAAAAAAAAAAAACATTGCTTAAAAAAAAAATATGCATTCCAAAAAAAAAAAAAACATTGCTTAAATATGCATTCCAAAAATATGCATTCCAAAAAAAAAAAAAAAAAAAACAAAAAAAAAAAAAAAAAAAAAAAAAAAAAAAAAAAAAAAATATGCATTCCAAAAAAAAAAAAAAAAAAAAATTGCATGTTTCAAAAAAAAAAAAAAAAAAAAATATTGCTTAAAAAAAGAAAAATATGCATTCCAAAAAAAAAAAAAAAAACATTGCTTAAAAAAGAAAATATGCATTCCAAAAAAAAAAAAAAAAAAAAAAAACATTGCTTAAAAAAAAAAAAAAACATTAAAAAAAAAAAAAAATTGCTTAAAAAAAAAGAAAATATGCATTCCAAAAAAAAAAAAAAAAAAAAATTGTTTAAAAAGAAAATATTAAAAAAAAAAAAAAAAAAAAAAAAAAAAAAAATCAAAAAAAAAAAAAAAAAACATTGCTTAAAAAAGAAAATATGCATTCCCAAAAAAAAAAAAAAAACATTGCTTAAAAAAACCAAAAATATGCATTCCAAAAAAAAAAAAAAAAAAAAAAAATTGCTTAAAAAAGAAAAATATGCATTCCAAAAAAAAAAAAAAACATTTTTAAAAAAAAAATAAAAAAAAAAAAATTTGTAATTGCTTAAATATGCAAAAAAAATATGCATTCAAAAAAAAAAAAAAAAAAAAAAAATCAAATTAAAAGGCAAAAAAATACAAATAAGAGCAAAAATAAAAGAGTGCAATTAACAAAGTCAATTTTGTGGCTTTTAATACAAAAAAATGTCCAAGATGGTATATGTGAATAAACAATGACAAAAGAAAATTTGTCCTTTTGACATATCGTATTTTTTACCTGGTCATAAGTTAAACTTTGCCACTTTTTATTATTCCTGATTGACTAGATTATATTTCATCTTACCATTGTTTGTCATTGCAAAGTTCAAAATTGTTTTATATTCTATAGTGTTTAAGGCAATTGGATTGAAAATAAACACCAGTAAGATTCACTCTCACAGTTGACTGTGGTAAAAGCCAAAAAGATCAACTAGTCAAACATTGTCTCAGGCTAACATTCTTGGCTGGCATGAAGTGGAAAGACTATATTGAAACCATTGCTAGACCAGCTGCTAAGAAAGTTTGTTCACTGTGTTGTGCAAAACAATTTTCTCTCCAGAATCTATCATACATATCTATAAGGCTACCCTTCATCCATGCTTGGAATAGGAATATTTCTGCCATATATAGTCAAGTGCCCTTGCTATTTACCTTTAGCTCCTTGATAAAATCCAAAGAAGAATCAGCAATATTATTGGTCCTGATCTGGCAGCTCAGCTTCAGTCATTTTCCCACTACCATAAGGTTGCTTCCCTGTGCCTTTTCTATAAATACTTTCATGGTAATTGTTTAGATGAGCTCTTTGCTATGGTACCTAGATTTTTAAAATTTAAGTGACGTGCCTGACTGTTGTTGTGATTTCATCAATTTACAGTTGATCTGGCTAGATGTAGCAGTAAATCTTATGCTAACAGTTTCTTTTCTCACACTTCTCACTTTAGGAATTTCCTTCTGGCTCCATGCTTTCTAGCCAACTTTAATCTGCAAAAATTTAAGTGCCATGTCAATTGCTATCTGCTGTCCTCCTGATTACTCTTTTCTCTTTCCGTTCATTATTAATGTTTCTGTTCCTAATCCTTTAACACCCAGTACTCCCTTGTGTCTTAGTGGCTTTACTAATTTCAATGGGATGAAACTGATTAAATAAAAAAGTGCTTAGGCCCCTTGAGATTAACCATGAGTCCTCTAACAAAATTTGGTAGAAGATTTCAGCAAACTCAAAATAAATCAAGCCAATATATATATACAAAGACTATATATACAAAGTAAACCTGGCAGCTGTTCTAGAAAATGACCTCCAATCAGTTGTTAACTGGGGCAAGAAATGACTTGTAAATTTTAAGACCCCCCCCCAAAAAAAAAACTACCATCTTTTAATTATCATAGAGAACCATTTTGCTTTTGACTAATGCTAACCCCAAGCAACTCATTCTACCTTTTTGGTCTCACATTTTCCACTGATATGAAGTGAAACAATTATATTAAATAAACTGCAAGGTCTGCTGCTAGGAATGTTGGTTCACTGTGTCATGCCAGACAATTTTTCTTGCTAGAATCCAACTTGCACATTTATAAATCTACCATTTGTCTATGCATTGAATATTGCTGCCATATCTGGTCTGGTGCTCCTGTTATATATCTTGAGATTCTTAAAAAAATCTAAAGAATGTAGTGTTATTGTTCCTCACCTAGAATCAAGAATTTGCTTTCCCACTGCCAAATTTTTTGCTTATCAAAATCCATCTTGCACATTTTTAAATCTACCATTTACCCATGCATTGAATATTGCTGTCATATCTGGTCTAGTGCTCCTACTATATATCTTGAGATCCTTAGAAGAATCCAAAGAAGAATCTGCAATATTGTTGATCCTGGCATCTCAACTTCAGTCACTTTCTTATTGCTGTGATGTGGCTTTCCTCTGTCTTTTTTATAAATATTTTCATGACAATTGTTCTAATGAGCTCTCCTCTTTGGTACTTTGCATGAATTTAAGCATACTCTACTAGATTGGCAACTAGGTCTCAATTTTAAATAGTTAGATGTATCTATTGTAATAACAGCATAAGTCCAGATGTAACCTGGACTAATGTCCTCATCTTTGTTGTTGCTGTTTTAATGTTTTGGTTGTTGTGTCCTCCAGCTTTCTCTAAGTGCCTCTCTGTGATACAGTTAACTTTTAGGGAATTCAGATTGAACCCTTTTTTAGTCTATTGTGTTAATTTACTCTAGTTCCGCTTTTCATGTCTAGAGATGTCTTGTGATTTCTTTTTTTTTTTTTTTTACTCCTACTCACTTGCTTTGTTTCTGCTGAGTAAGTTTGTACCATTGAACCAAATCTAAGCTAAGGGATTGAATTCACATTTGCTATGCCACCAAATTCACAAATGAACACTTGAACCTACATTCGGTCAATTGTAGACCTAGAACTTGGAACTTTAAACAATGATATTGCTCGCTTGCCTGCAGCTACACTATCCTGCTTGAACTACTTCACCATTGTTTCTTACTTTTTGCTGCTGCTGTTGAGCCTTGCTGCAGTTTCTCTTCAAATAGCTGAAATGTTATCATAATATCAAAGATGAGGACATTAGTCTGAATGTAAATAATGTAAACTCCTCAACCCTGAAATTCAGACAGAAAAAACTTTAACCCTATGAAAGAAAGCAAATCTTAAACTGTTAAAAAGTATTAAGATGAGAATATGGCCTTTAAAAAAATGCTCTGCTAGAAAGCCATAATACAAAGAGATAAACCTTTATGTAAATAGGAAAATAGTCTTAAATTTAAATAGACAAAAGGCCATGATGATAAATAATCCTATGCTTGTACAGTACCTACAAAATAACTCAAAATAAATATGATAATGAATCAAAGGCTTGATTACTGTTTACCTGGCCCACAGTCCTAGAGGTAGATGCAAGGTCGGCATGTACTAACCCTCAACTAGTGGGTGGGGTAAGTTTTGGAGACCCACGCAGTGTTTCGTGACCCTTGTTATCTTATCAACATTTGCTTTTTTTCTACCTACATTTATATACATTACAAATGACTATTAAAGGACGAAAAGTTTTTGTGGATTTTGACATCATTCTGCTTTTTTTTTCTTTTTCACCCAAATCCATGAATTTGTTTTGCTAAGTTTAAATAAAAACACTACTTAAAATTCACTACTTTTTATCCATAATGTTGAATGTGTTAAAATTATTCAACTTTTAAACAAGAAAAATCTCTCAGTTTGGTTTGGTTTGTTTTATGGCATATCAACCTCAGTGGGTTATTTAATGCTGACAAGATTTTTTTTGCTGGTTTAGTTTGTTTTGTTTTATGGTATATCAATCTCAATGGGTTATTTAATGTCGACAAGATTTTTTTTGCTGGTTTAGTTTGTTTTGTTTTATGGTATATCAATCTCAATGGGTTATTTAATGTCGACAAGATTTTTTTTGCTGGTTTAGTTTGTTTTGTTTTATGGTATATCAATCTCAATGGGTTATTTAATAAAAAACAAGATTTTTTTTGCTGGTTTAGTTTGTTTTGTTTTATGGTATATCAATCTCAATGGGTTATTTAATGTCGACAAGATTTTTTTTGCTGGTTTAGTTTGTTTTGTGGTATATCAATCTCAATGGGTTATTTAATGTTGACAAGATTTTTTTTGCTGGTTTGCTTTGTTTTGTTTTACGGCTTATCAACCTCAATGGGTTATTTAATGCTGACAAAATTTTTATTGCTAATAATATATTTTTCTTCAAAAATCTATTTCTGGGAATATTTTTCCTTGAAGAAATCTATAGCTGGTCATATTTTTCTCAAAAAATGTAAAGCTGTTTGTATTGCTGGTATTTTTTTTAAAGTATTGCTGATAATAATTTCTCTTTCAAAAATTATTGCTGGTAATAATTTTTTTTTATTACAAAGTATTTCTGGTATTAAAACCTATTTTTACACAAGTTTGGGTGTTAATTATTTGTCCATAGCTGGGACCCT